ACGAAGATTTAAAAGTTAGCATCATATGAGATGAATATTTAGCTTCTCTTCCTTTCATTTATGCGCTAGCCACCACGTCTTTACACTGTCATAAAATCCAAGTACATGTATAAGAATAGGACGTCCTGCTAGCCTGTTTGCTTCGAAAATTGGAATAGAGATTTCTCTGCAAGTTTTGTAAAATGGTGGCTGAAACTTTCTAGAAATGAAATTGAACCTGAACCTCACTGATCGCGGCATATTACACAGCATAACTTGGTGATTTTGTTGAGACAACGAGTAAAATACTTACCGTCGCTAACGCTGCTTTTGGAGGCAGCCATGTTGTGTACGCCCTCAACATCAAAATATGTTCAAAGCTTGAGTTCTCGATGTCAAAACTAGCGGATTTCATTCCCTGCAGCTAAGCTTTTCCTGACCAAGCTATGCTGCACGGTGTCAAAGCTGTGATTTTCATTAAAAAGCTACACTTTCATTGGTACCCCTGCATCTGTCACTGATTCAGATCAAGGTAATAACATGACATCACTAAAAACCCTAGCATTACAATCTGAGCTAATTATTTATTCTAAGCATGCTCAGTTGTTCTATGAGTGGTGTTGGGAGAGGTAGTTTTGAATGAAAATCATGAAAAAGACCCACTTAGGATTTTCAGATCTGAATAAAAAAATTACGTGCATATTCGGCAGAGACTAGTTCATCAACCTGCCGAGTTTACCTCATATTTTCAAATTTGTTTTGATAACCTACAGTGGATATTCCTAGTTGTTAAGAATATTTAAACAACCAAGCTGATGATTGTAAACATATCTAGTTTATAATATCATGTTTTTATCTTTACTTCATTACAGACTAGCTCCCAGGTACCAGTACATCTATTAACATGCTTGGAACAGTTCTTCAATTCAAGCAGAACTACGGGTTAACAATATTAAAATGTACATGTACACTGTAAACTGTTTTTACATTTTACGTTAATATATTTTTGTAATTTCATGATTTAGGAACTTCGAGAGAAAGAAAATTTTTGAAATTCACAGCAACTATTTGTACATGATTTCCGCAACCCATAAAATTTGCAAAAAATTTCTATGGTAAAAAGGTCATGTCTCCAAATTTTTTTTGTTACGGTATTTGTCTGATAGCCTGCCTTGAGCAATGTTTAGAAGAGCTGCTCATATTTTTTAGGTGAGTAATAGCTCAAAAACATCAGTAAGGACAATCTTTTAGCATTGAATTCGGTAAAAAAAAACAGCATGATGTTTTTAAAAGAAACAGGAAATTGTGTATTCCATATACTTGAAATACATAAATTGAACTGGCGCCAGGATAGAGTGAAATGTTCTAAAAATTACTCCTACATGTACCGGTATCACTTATATCACATTTCTAAAACTTTGATCTGCTCTAGACATTTTCTGTGACTCCTAAACTGATAGCAGTTTTTTTGTAACCAAAAGATCACTCACTTGCTGATACATGGATGAGCAGTGTATACAATATGGTAAATAATATGGTTAGAAATTACTATTGAGGGAAATATTACTCCTAACATTGTATATCAATAAAATTGTATATTATGAAACAAAAGCACAAAGTTGCTGATCAAAATCAATAAATCTGTAACACTTTTGAAACAAAAAATGAGACAAAGTTGTTTTTCTATTAATTAGGTCAAATACCCAGGATCGACTTTAAAATATTTTCTATCAGCAAGCTGTCATATTTAAAAGCACACATAACAATTAATTGGGACACATGCTTCAGATCAGAGTATGATTGTGTTGCAGGGAACTCAGATTAACATGTATCACTAATTATAAGCATAATCAAACAGTCACATGAATAAAATGACGTACTTTCAAGCCTTCTGTACCGAGAGCATATAAACTGCCATCTTTTGGATCCGGTAGGAATGATGGACCTCTAGCATACTCTGAAGGAACTTTTAATACAGGATCTGGTAGAAAATAATAACAACAGTTAATGAGATATCACATCAGTTTATTAAGCCTACGGTCCAAATAGCAAACTGGTTTCTGGATCGACATTTTAAACATTTAAAGCAATGTAATACTGTAAAATACTTTATTTTTGCTTGGAATTAATTATCGCTATTTTCGCTGAAAGAATGATTCTGTGAAAATAAAATCCAGCGAATCTACCTTTTTTCCACCATTTTACAATTCAACTCATCAAAAATCAGTGAAAATACATTCCATACAAAATACCCAAAAAGTCTTTTAAGCAAAAATTAATTTATTCAACCTAGTCACAATTAGATCTAGAATCAACCAATCATAAGATCATTGGAACTACCACTAAGATACCTTGCAATCAATTATAATACTTTAATTGTTACAGGACATATACCTTCTTTTAAAGTCCACAAAGTGATACCAGTGTTTTTATTCACAGCATGCATTCTACCATCAAGAGTGGAAACCAATAAGACTGATTCTTGTCCAACATAGGGAATGGTCAGCCTTCCAGTATTTTTCTAAAAGAAAAAGAAAAATTATTAGAACATAATTCAGGCTTTCTTTGTATTGTTGAAACAAGTCAAGTCATGACATGATAGAGTCCCTGTTATTAAACAAAACTGAAATCAGTCAGCCATTTTGAATCAGAACTTGAAATGAATGCATGTGTGACACATATTATGTAGTTGTAAATTTTATTGCAATCAGTCGAGACATGTCCAAGATGATGGCATTCGTTAATACAAAATGTCCATCAATTGACAATTTAGATTCCAATTAGAAAAACAAAATGCTATCCTGTTGTGTTCAATTTAAATACGGTATACATGTATGTACAAAATTTTAACAACAGCAGTCCGTGTATGTATGACCGGAATCCAGAATTTTGAAGCATTTTTAACATTATTAAAATGGTCATCATTTTTACTTGAATTGTCAAACTAATGCATGTGCATGAAATGTAAATTGCTTAATTTTTGCTGACATCATGTCGTAAGACCCAGTAATTTTCTCAGCTACAAAATTTTTGATTTCAACAACTTGTTAAATTTGCAAAAATGTCTTCAATCTTACTCAAAATTAAGTCTACAGTATGCGACGTATGTATGACGTATGCACAAAGTCTGAATGTGATTGGTCAAATCTGGAAAAGTATTTATTAAATCAAAATGTCTGCCAGTTGGTCATTTGGAATCTGATTTTTAAAAATCAATGTATTCAAATTAATCCATATAGAAAGATCTGGTTGTGGAATGACAGAAATGCTTGATTTTAACTTCTCACCACAAGCCTTTCACACACAAATTTTTCTGTTGTCGTATATTCTTCAATATATCTGGAAATGGACCCTAATTTTGGAGCCAACAGACAAAATTTGTGTCAATTTTCAATTTTCACTTGAAAGATTTGGCTATTTTTGTCCCAATCTTCTGAAGGAAAAAGCAGGCTTTAAACGGGACTGTTTTGTGAATTTGTGATGAAAAGAGGGAACTGGTGGTGAAAAGGCATTAGCATTATTAACATTTAAGTGGCTAGCCAAATGAATACATATATGTATTCCTTAAGTTCGAATGTGATTGGTCAAGGCAGGTCAGCGATATGGCTCCAGAACAGCATTTGTTAAAACAAAATGGCCACATGCTATTGACCATTCATCCATTTTGAATCTGATATAAAAAACAAAATGGTTTGCATCATGGTCTCATAATAACATATATACCAAGTTTGGAAAAAAAATTGGTACCATAATTGTAGAAATGCTTGATTTTAATGAATTTTACGCACTATTTAGCCATCTAGAATCAAATAAAATAAAATGTATATTGTATGCTTAAAGTATAAATGCACTCAGAGATACACACAAACCTAGGTACTATCAGTAATATAAAATTCACCTTGGTGAAACAAAAGCATGGCTTTCACTGCTAACAATGGAAATCAAAGAGAGCTTCTACATGTATCCAATATACAACATACGTATGATTTATGGTTGATAATTTTAATGATTTGATTTTAAATCATTGACATACAAGCAAGACAAACCAAATCAAAATTTTTGAAAAATGGATGAAACTGTATACTGATGAGTAACATACAGACATGGAATGCCAAGACACACAGACATCATACCAAGCTGATCATAAAAATATTTAATAGGTTAGCTTCCAGGTACCGTTACCTTTTAGTATGATGCTCAGAACAGTTCAATTGAAGCAGAACTACTACGTATTGGTTAACTCTGATGAACAATACAATGTACACATACATTGCAAATCGTTATATTTTTACCTCAATATTTTTTTGTAATTTGATAATTTAAGCACTTTCATGAGGAGGAAAGTTTGTGAAATTCACAGCAACTCCTTGTCTTAAGGACCCCTATGAAATGTTTACTCGTCTTCAACACAATTTTTTCCGATTCTTCAAACTCATGACATCTCAAAGTCAATGTCCACAAGTGAAGGTGACAAAGACTCTAACAACAATGACGCTAAATTATCAATTGTTGATTTCATACGCATGTATTTACAAACTTTTGTAATAAATACAGTAGTACTATAAATTCATTTGATATGCCTGGCAGATGGTTTGAAATTCATGTTACTCAAAAGGTCAACAATATGTCACAAACAAATACACTGAAACGTGCAGGTCTGTATGTAAAAACACATAGAAACTAATTTAATATTGTCATTTGTTGTGAATAATTATATTTTTAGCTCTTTTTAAACAATTCTACATTAAAATAGAACACCGCAATTGTTTAAGACTTAGTCTTCCTAAACTAAGCTGCTTTCTAGAAAAACATGCAAATTTGTGAAAAATGTACAAAATATGTTGTACCATCTTAATTTTTTATCATTATCACAAATAATGCTATTTAAATTAAATACTATTCCTTAACAATGTTATTTTAATCATCAAATATGAAAAACAACAACAATAATAAATGAATTAAATTTTAGTAAAATTTAAACAAAACAGTTTGTTGTTCATTAACAACTTAAAATTGAAAAATAACAATTTTAGAATGAAATTTGTATTATAAGAATAATTGTAAAAGTTGTTTCACATTGCCAGAATATATTAAGATAATTAATTGCTACAATGACCTTTATTCAGTCTAAATATTCTCTCTATACGTATTATTTGTTCAATACAATATGGTTCAACTGAAATGATGAGTTAATTGAGTGAGTCTGGTAATCAAAAAATGTAGTTTCACAATGAGATGTACATGTACAGGTAGTACTAAAAACTATCACGCATTGACTAGTCATAGTTATAATTATTATTATTAATAAATGAAATGGAACAATAATTACTAAAGACATTGTTTACTGTAAAATCTATATTAGAAGTCATGACTTATTAAAATGTTACAATACAACAGAAGAATGTGGATTTTATTTGAGGAATGGTGACTGTTTTGTTGTGAATTGTTCGAAAAGAATGTGTGCATCCTTCTATTAGGGATGCCCCTTTAGTACAGATTTGACAATACTATTTACCATTTACTATATATTAAAGTCATTGCTATCAAAATATCCAGAGTAAATGCCCAATAGAAGTAGTACATGTATGTAGTTTAACTCTTTTGAGTGTCAACTTTTGGCACCATTCACAAGAAATATTTCTGTACAGTCTGCTCCTGACATGAAATATTAATAAAAATTATTATCAAAACCTAGAAGCCAATGTCTACTGTCTACTAATACTGTCTGTACATTTTGTATGATTCAAAATGTGCAAAAATTGACAATGAATTTTGGCAGGTTATAATAATTATCATACAATTGAGAAAGGTTGGCAAAAAAAAAAAAAAATAGAAAATCAAATTTGTAAACAATATTTGCTATTTTAAAATGAGATTGAAGATGAATTACACTTTTTACTACTTTGTTCTAAATATCATAGGCCACCAAAAAACCCTGACAGATATTGCATTCCCGGCTAAAATCACCAATTCATTCCAGAAACTTGTATACGCAATTAACAATAGAGATGAGGAAATGATCAAAAGCATTGAAGTTTTGAAGAAGCTTCACAACACAAAAAAATGTATCACTTTCAAATTTGTATTTATTGCTAACAACTAATAGAAATGTTACTGTTACTTTTACATGGAACGTTTACATTTGTGATGTGTGTTTTTTTTGTCGTATTTACCTCACAGTGCAAATATCATCTCCTATTTCACTGAGATTAGGTTTTTTCACCATTACGCATATAAAATTATTCTAAAATTGATTATATTTCTGCAAAAGAGCACTATTTTTTTTTGTGATGTTCATGACATGTATGTTTCAGTGAACAAGGCAAAAGCCAAGAAAACCAGTCTTACGACATCATTTTTATTTCTTCCACAGCATAACCATGTGCATGTGGTTACTAATAGAGCAAATACAGTGATTAGTTATAACAAGGCCACCCTCACTATGGCCTTAAGGGCAATGATCAATAGATTGAAAAGGGAATGTGTTTCCCATTGGAGCCTACATCCAGACTACTAATACATGTGCCAGTACTTGGAAATATATGACTAAATTAAGAAGACAAAAGTATGTAAAGAGGGTTGAAACCAGTTCTGTCTTCTATTTTGTACTTCTAAGATTGTATGATTCACTTATAATTCAATTTTAAAAATTAGCCCATTTGTCATGTGAGTTCATGTACGTGCCATTCTACATATATATCCATGATTACTGATAAGAAATTGACAAACTATGGTAGCCATGGTATTCAGTACGTATATAAACTAAAGGGGAAGGGGTGGGAAGCTTATTCAACATTTTTAACTGACAGCTAATTTCAGAAAACAAAGACTCCATAATAGATAACATACGACAAAGGGGCTGCGATAACACATACAAGCAACCAGACTGTGCCAGGGATGGTTGAAAATCTGAATTAAAAACAATCATACTATTACCAAATCTGTAAAAAATTAATATGGTCATCTTTTATAAGAACTAAAGCATATATATCGTATGTGCTACTTTACTGTAAAAATTCTAATTTTAGGAGTTTTGGAGTAAGAATTTTGACACTTTTATGTATTTTGACCCAAAAAAAGAAAGTAATTTTCTATCATCAAGATTTTGATTACAAAAAAAAAAAAAAAAAAAAATTAGGCAGATTTAGTTTTTGAAGAATCATGAAATGTGAGCAAAGCTGACTTTGACACTTGAAGGATAAATTTTTGCTGTAGATTTTGTGAAATTGGCGATGTTGACTATGTTTAGACATCGTGTCAAATTTGTAATTGTTTTATTGTTCGAAAGGAATCATGGAATGTATGAAATATTATACAACAATCGACCATGGAAGATTCTCACGCTTCGATATAAATCAAAAGAAGATGCTCTATAGAAGACATTTGGTAACATCCATTATTCATGAGTTTTTGCAGGTTTTCTTAAGTCATATGTCTATGCATGCTAAACATGTGGTGATTGGGCTAGTGGTTTTTAACCATCATTTGAATTTTATAAACATTTATATAAAAACATTTATGCCTTTATGAAATGCATTTATAAATGTTTTACCAAATGGTTTTTATAGCTAATTAAAACATCTTCTTTGGATTGAATGAAGCACAAGGATTTCCTTGTGATAAATATTTTATAAATATGTCCCCGAACTTTAACCTCACTCAAGACACTCTCCATTCAATTGCATATGTCCCCTCTAGATATAGTTATAGGAGGGGCATATACAATTAATATGGGGAGTGCTGCAGGATAGGGGTACAATTAGTGTTAGGAGGTACAAAAGGAATTCTTCCCTTATAAATGTAAATCCATGCTTTCATGAAATGCACAGTAACATACAAACATAAACTTAAAATCATTGAAGTGCAGTACATCCATAAATCATACTTCAAAGAAGAGAAATTGCTCCTTCACTTTCATTCAACATGCACATAATCTACAGTAACAGTCGATTATTTTACTGCCAACTATGAGTCAAGGCATTGACGACAACAGGTTGACGTGTACTTGTCCGAGGGAACCCCCGGATGATGTAATCATGACCACCCATGTTCATTATGCTATAACGTGCAGTGATACTACCGGTATACCACAAAAAACGCCAGAAAATAAAATATGCATTAGCTAATGGCGAGCCTTCAAAACAGGAAGTGATAACATCGTGATTACTGTACTCTGGGGGAAAGGGAACACAGAAAATATTGCCGATCCGCCGATCGAACAAAACAAAGATATCGGTGTCGTTTACATGCGATACTACACGAGACCACTATTCAATTGTCACGCCGCGTAGGAATGCCGTATTGCTGGAATACACATATTTTATAAACAGGGTACACATACATGTATAATAGTAAAATTAATACCGAACCGTACGATTTGCAACAACATTTGCATTTTGTAATCATCGTGCACTTCTCACCTTATCTGCTGTTCCTACTCGGATTTCAAAGGCGAAGAACACCAGTATCGTGGTAAGAAGGTGTCTGCACAACCACTGCATATTTATGTCCCGTTATGGCGAATATAGCATGAAATTACACGACAAATTAGACAGCACAACACATCTTCATTTTCACACGCTCGTTTAAAAGTTTTGTTATTGTAAAGCGGAAGTGACGTTTTTTGGTTTTGCTCGAACATTGCGTATTCATTGCTGATTGGTTTACGTCGACCTTGGGTCAGACCAGTCTAGTGGACTCGCATATGGATTTTGGAACGACATTTGTAAATTTTCATAATTATATATAAACTACAAATAAATACATTACTGTATTCTATTGGATGTAAAGACATGACAAATGTTCACAGTTTATAACATTTAAAACGATTATTTTTAGGTCTTGTCGAGTTTCTAATGTTTATTATTTTATTGCATCGTCGTCACGGTCATTCAGAGCGGACTAGATTTGTTTCAGCATATCTAGAAAACCAAAAATTGTACATATGACTTCACTAAATAAGAACATATATGGTCAGTTACAAAAATAGCAAATACAGAGCAATAAATGTCACAACATAGTCCAAATTATGTCAATTAAATCGCTTTTCTGTTGATCTTTGCTTTAAGTTGTGCTGTCTCCTTATTGTAAACAAATGAGTGAATCAAGTTGTTGTTGATTTCAGTTCCATTATGTTGTTATAATTAGCTTGATGAGTTTAAAATCACTAGTGATGGGAGTGACAATTTGGAATTACTTTCTACCATCATGAACATAAATTTGTTACGTCTAATTGAAGGTATCTTAATTTGAGTTATATATATAAATATATATGTGTTTATTCCACGTTGATTTAGCAGTGACAGTCCAGCATGAAGGAGTCTGAACAAAGACTAGTAAAATCATGGACATTAGAAACAATCGTCTATAATGGTTAAACCGAACGTGTACCAACAAACTACAACAAAGGAACATTAATCATAGAAGTATAATTATGATATAAACCAGTCCATTAAAAGAAAACAATGTCATTTAACTATGATTTAATGGCAAATTGTTTAGTTTAGTTTTTTATTTTAGTTTAAATAATATATACAATATCACAGGGACAAGAAAAACACGACGAGTCAATGTTATTGACACAACTGACACAATGTCAAATTATTACACTGGCAAAACACAAGTTACCGTCAGAACAATAATAGAAACACACATTGCTGTATCGTAACACATTGCAGTGACACATAGTGTTGAAGCACATGTTCAGACAAGAACATACATTTAGATTATTGCATATCAAGTTGAGAGCCCCCTTTTTATACAAACACATCAATCTCATAGAAAAAAAAGGTTCGGAGATGAGCTAAAAAATTAATAGTTTCGGAAAATTGTAACTAATAATTGAATCTTCGCAAGTTGAATTTAACAGCATTGGAAGAACGTCGAAAAAGGGGGAGGCCTGATCGATCCTCTAAATTAAGGAAAGGCATTGACTGCTCAGATTATACAATCGTCCTCTGTGTTTCTAGAAGAAGCATGACCGTAATTCAGCAAAAGGCTTGTGAATGTTCAAAACAATTACTAGTAATTTCTTGAGCCTGTGTTTTGATCAAAAGCAACCGGAATGTCAAGATAAGACAAATATTTAAGAAAGAACGGGGGTCGTTAAAGGCCAATTGAGTTAACATAATTATAAGATTCCTATTTGTGGTTTCATTCAAGTTGTTGACATTCACCATATGCATTATTACCATTATTATAATATATAAATAAAGTAATTATAACGTCCGGTTCCATAACAATGCAATGCGTTGAAGTTACACAACACTGTACGCTTTAGAAAATATATAAGTTCGATATGGGACTCCTAGCGTGTAAAATACATGAAATTTGAACACACGCAAAGAGAATTCCATGTGAAAAAAAAAAGAAACACGACCACCGTAACACCAGTAGGACTGAAAATGTTCATAGTTTTGTATATTAACTGTAACTGTAATTTTTTTCTCGACATTCGGACAAACAAACTATATTCTTAAAAAAATGTATCTTTGATAGAGAAAAGAAAAAAAAAACATTCACAATATCAAACTCCTGATAAAATTCAAAACTAATTGAACAGCGCCACCATCGACCATATTAAATAGTCTCTTTTTTTCAGTGCAACTGGAACTGAACCTGGCGTGAAAGATATACTTTGGTAAAACTAAATAAAGTTTTGTGACTTTTACCCAGTTTTAAGAAAATAAACCCACAAAATCATTCAAATGCTGTAAACTGTTCTTTTTTTTAATATTTAGTTAATACAAATCTTATGTACCCTGTTAATCAGTAAGCTTTCTAAAAACGGAGAGAATAAACATTCCATTTTTAAAATATCAATTCATGTTTAAAAACAAATTAAAAACCAGGTACATATATCTGTGTATATATATATATATATATATATATATATATACACAGAAGTTACAACAGTACAATGTGACACAATTCGTTGACCTGGGCAATGACCTGTGAGAAAGAATGCAGTGATGTGATTGGTCACACGCCTCTGCGCAGATTTATATGCGCAAAATATCGAATCTTTTATTTACATCAGGTCGATTGAGGTTTGTGTTGAGCTGCGGAAGTTTTCTTCATTTACCAACATTTCTGTTGTAATATTTATATAATTTGGTAAGTTTTGCATTATGAATGTCTTTGCTTAGCCTACCAGCTGTTTGTGATTACATTGGGTTGTGAGAACAAACACAATCACGTATTTACTGTTGACCATCGACAATTTAACATTGACGATTTGCTATTTTTGCGTCTGGCGCATACATCCCCATGTTTATTATTATTCAAATAATAGCTTATCTGTTTTAATATTACTCATTTTTATAGATTAATAACTCAGTCATTGCGTACCTGTAGTAAAATGTAGGAACCTCGAAAGATCGGTACCATGTTTCGTTTTGATCAGACGCGTGATGTATCGCCAAATCGGGTGATGGATGGCCGATCGGACTTTAACATTCATGTCATCTGTAGACTTTAACCCAGTTTACTCAACAAGACAATAACACTTATTTATTATAACTTATTAAATATACTAGGTGGCAGTCTGCGCTGGTCTCCGTGCATGCGTCATAGAAATAAATAGACAGTCAGTCGTTAGTGTTGTCTATAACTTACCAGTTCAATTATATCTTCTTCGGACGACTAACGTACACTTATTTTTTATTAAGGTCATTGTTTGCTGATGGTATTCACATGCTGATGTTTATTGCTTTTCTAAACAGATACTCAATACCGATTCAAGTGTACACCAGAACAACAAGTCTAATGGTTAGTTCCAAAGGATGATATGAGAAAACCGATTTGGCTACTTTTCAATTGTGCATTGTGAATATCATGAGTGATAAGAAGATTCCACCCCCTCGGCCTCCAGCGCCAAAATTGGGTTCAATGAAAGGAGGAAGTAGGAATCGTGGAAAGACTAACCTGCCCTCTGTCAGTATTCGATACAACCCCTTATCATCCTTAGATGATGACGATTTTATATTAGACGATGAAATATCTATAGTGAAAGATAAGAAAATTCAGCCAACCAGTGTATCCAACGGTAGAAGTGTCAGTCAGCCAAGTAAAAGGAATACATCTGAAACCGTACCAATAAATGCAGCTAAACCACCAACAAAATCAGCTGTTCCAGAACAACCCAGATCTGCTAGTGTGCCAACAAAATCACGGTCCTTTGATAGAGGACTATTTACTGTTAATAGTGAGATTTTGGAGGTAAAAGGAGAGGACACACACACAAAATTTGAAGGTGTAAAAGATGCCGGAACTGATCCACTTACTTTATTGAGTAAAATGTGGGAGGAAGAAGATCTAAGCCCTCCAACCTCTCCGCTAACAAGACCAAGAGCTAGCAGTGCTAAAAATGGTACTTTGCATACAAGAGCCAAAAGTTTGGACAGAGAAGTGCATGTCAATACTGCTACAGATGGATTAGATCTAGTTTCTGACCATTATGACATTCCCCCATCTGCGTCTGATCCATATTTCTTCCATACCAAGATACAACAAGGCTACCAAGAGAAAACTGAACCCAAGGAACAATCAGTGAAAGCTGAGAGCCCAAAGCACACTAACAGTAAAAAAAGGAACATTGGTAGTATTTCCATGTCTGGACTGCTAGCACACTCTATAAGCTTGGATGGAACCGAATCTGGACGAGCTACAGATCAATCCAGTGAGGGAGATGATAGTAAGATTGACAGTCCATCATCAGAGAGAAGTAGTAACGGTATTTTGGACATTCAACTTGAGGATATTGAATCCCCCAAAGAAACCAAACCACCCATTACAATTGTATTTACCTCAGCTGAACCGTTCCCTTTTATCCCTGGTTTATTACTGACGATGCTTGTGTATACATATTTCACCGTTCCTCTGCCACCCTATATTCAAGGCATGTTTCTTGGATTTGGAATAGCATTTTTCCTCTTCAGTTTCTTTGTCTGGTTAATAGTACCACCAACTCCAAGAGAACCTATGAAGTTGCCTGATGTATCCCTACTGCCACAACTAAAAGTTCCAATAACGAATCAAAAACAGAAAGAAGACGAAAAGCTTCTGCAACGGGTAAGCTGCTTTTGTTCATAGAAATATATTTCTTTACTGCAATTTTCTAGTAAATATATAGGTAATGTGAAAAAACAAATTTTAGTAGTCTGTGACAAATTTATATAGTACAGTATAGTAACCACCCAAGGTACATAAGGAAATTGTTCTTAATATATAGGTGTTCTTTATACAGAGGTTGATTACTTAATTTGTGAATAAAATTAAGCCAATGTTTTCTCAGTTTAAGGAGCAATTAAGAGAGGAGTGAATACAAATACGTTTGTTTTTTCTGTGCAGAATGCATGTTAAACTGTGACGTTAGAGATTCAAATCACATGCCCATCTAATCATTGTAAGAGTGAATTCACTACATGCTATATCTAGCTGTCCTTTTTGGGACACTGTGATGGGGTGTAACTGGGAGTGTGTAGGCTTACAGTGGCGAGAAGCTTTGCTGTCCTTCAAGTTCAAATCTTGTGTTTCATATTTATACATGTACATGTACAGTATCTCATAAATGTGCCTGTAAATTCAGATACACAGATTCATTTGACCGATCTAATGCCAAAAGGGCGGTTACTAGTCATATTGAACAGGTTGCCATTATATACAAATCACATGTAAATTGTGTTGGAACTAGAAATGGTCACTAACACAGGTTTCTCTGCAGTTGATATTTTTTTCTTTGCAGTAGTTATTTGGTCTGAATCACTTATAGGCATTGATATTTCATAAAGTCCAGATTACTTTTTGACTCCCGTGTGCGAACTTTTGAAAGTAGTAATGATCATGTTTCAATGAAACTTGGTACATAGTTACTTGAGGACTGTGCAGACCCCTGATTAGTTTTTGGGTAAATATGTGTGTATATTAATTACTTTATTAGCATAATTAGTTAATTTTCAGCTTTTCACCTGATATCCCAAGTACTAATCATCACATTTCAATGAGACTTGCGACATAGATATTCTAGGACTATGCAGAGACCTGATTAATTTTGGGATAAATAATTGTGCCTACATGTATTAATTACCTAATTTGCATAATTAGTTAATTTTTTGCTGTTCTATGGCTATTGCACTGATGTCTAAAAACCACTCATTGGATTTTAATGAAACTTTTAAAGAGTACCCATCACATTTCAATGAACCTAAGACTATGCACCATATTAGTTATTGGTAAATATTTATGCTTCTTAATCATCTAATTAACATAATTAATTAATACTGATATCTCAAGTATTGATCATCACATTTGAATAAAACTTGGTACATAAATGCTAAGGACAATAGACAGCCTTATTAATTTTGGGTTAAAATCTGTTCATATTAATTCTCTAATTAGTATAATAATTAATATTTTTTTGGTTCTAATCACATTTCAATGAAACTTGGTACATTGTGCAGACCTTATTAGTTTTACACCTAAATCTGTTCATATTAGTTATCTTATTTGCATAATTAGTTTTCAGCTATTCCATCAATATCTCAAGTATAAGTAATTTTGAATTAATTTTTAATGTGTCTCCAAAACTCTCAGCATACGGGAGTTCTTTCTAAGCTTTCTTTGATTCATTATTTATTTTGAACATGGAGCTGGCCAATTAGTGTTTCTCAGTACATTAAACAGTACAATAGACATACGTCTGGTACAAAACACATTTGTTAACCTCCTAACTAAGTTAGGATTGTATATAAATTTGAAGCAAACCATAGTTCCTGTTGTAGGAGCTCACAGTTCCAGTAGAAAATTATTTATTAACCTCCTAACTAAGTTAGGATTGTATATAAATTTGAAGCAAACCATAGTTCCTGTTGTAGGAGCTCATAGTTCCAGTAGAAAACACTTTTATTAACCTTGTAACTATGTTAGGATTATGTAGTAATTCAAAAACCGGACACAATTATTTTATGCTCAGATCATATATTTAGAATGTTATGCCTGTTTGTCAGAAACTTATTAATGAATCATGCAATCTTTAATAAAATCACTCTTTTCATTACAAAATCCTTCCTTACACTAACCTACGTTCATAAATAATAATACAAGAAGCAACACATGTGTGATTCTTTGATTTAATCGATTGCATTAATTTTCTGCCCATCTACTTTGTTTTGCTATTGACTCATGGCAGTGTTTTAATTGGTAGCTGACAAGCAAATTTAAATATTGCCCAATCTGACAACACTGTGGATCCCTGGCTAGTACAGACTATGCACAAGTAAACAATACTGATGCAGCCAGAAGGTATAGGTTATCTATAACATCTCTTGTTTTTTTATGTGATACCTTAAAGGTCCTTTGGAATCAGTATCACCATATTTGCCCTATTAGAAGTGCATCTCCATAAGTATATATAAACCAAAAAAATCTTTTATACTGAATCATTAAAATATTACTTATATTGACCATAGAAACATCTCTGTGAATTTTATATTAAAGCGCATACCTACTAATAGAGCAAATACTATATTTAAGTAAAAAGTATTATAGCTCATTAACTGGACATTTGGAAATGTTCAATTTACTGACAGATTTATGCACATTCTTCTAGAGAATAATTGAAACAGTATCACAGCAGTATGTTTACCCACAACCTGACTCCAGATTTAAATGTTAAAATGTCAAAATGTCTCGCTCCTTAAAATTAAAATTATAATAGCAGTTTATGCAAATCAGTGAAGATGTCTGGCACGCCTAGACTGTTGTTTTTCTGGTACATTGAGCATACCTAAGTATTATTGTATTATTACAATCTCTTAAACGTCCATGAAGGTATATAATGAGATTATTTCTTTCAACTGAAGTTGTTGTAAACAGCAGCCATACAGTTTTGGTCAAGTAGTTTTTTGTCGGGTTATAAGTCACTGCATAGTATCTAATTGGACTTATGTGACTATGAATATTAAAGCAGTGATTTTATGCCATAATTACAAGTATAATTTATGCATTTGGACGTCAAAAACATTTAGAAATATATGTACACCATAATTATCAACCTGGTTGTGTGACATGTGACTATAACATTTTGAAATCTAGTTTGTATTATTGTTGATCAAAGAATTTGCAATAAATACCATCACACTTCTAAAAGGAACATCTACAAAGGGTTCTACCATTCTGTTGGAGTGCCACAATCACTGTGCAACACTAGCTTATTTATTAATCACAACTCTATTGGGCATATCTGTTACTAACCAACTATTATTATATATCTGGCAAATTCATTCAGTTGGTGAGTACTACCCACAAGCAGACAATATGTAATCTAGCCAATTTTTTTAGTTTTTTTCTTTAAAGAAATGAATTAGTATGCTTTACGACTTTTTTTGCCCTCTGCAACAACATTATATACATGTACTTGTATATTTTTGTGCCTGAAGCCATTAATATAATAATCTTATTATTATTATTATTATTATTATCATCACATTCATAATAATCCAAGCTGTAATTTTTTAAATCCATCCCAAGAATGATAATTGTTAGGTACTCATCCTCTATGCAGACATAGTCTGGATGACATCTATAGTATGGTCATATAGCAAGCAATAAAGTCTAGCTTATGAGCAGACTATTTCAGCAGAATCTAGTTTATACCAGTATTTGGCAGGTGTGTCACTAAAATATTTCATGCAGATACAATATGATAAAAAAAAATCATTTTAAAGGTTGATTTTTTTTCCCGTTTGTATTATTTTTTTCATCAGTATTTTACAATAAAAACAAAATTTATTTTTTGAGAGCATCACAGTACAATTCCTCTATCACCCACTATGGTATCAGATAGTTTGTGTTAAACACATGTAAATAGTAGGTAATTACCCAGCTGTTCATTCACTGGAGTTGTTTTTGGAGTTAAATAAACATTACAGCCTTATTGCTGTATACATATACATACAGTATTTCCCTTTTGCAAATACTAATAATAGTATTTTTTATTGAACTGTGATGCGTTCGGTGACAACATGTTATAGTCATTAGTATTCCATACATAGTAATATGACAATTTCTATACATATATGATAATAATATTATGAAAGATCAATTATGTTTAACTGAATATTTCACTGTAATTACATGCTGCAGCAGATAATGTGATTTTTGATTTAGGTTTATGATTACTGACAGCTCATTTCATGCTAATAGATTACTGCAATGGCTTAAATTTTTCCAGACGCAAATTTTTGCGCTGAAAAATGATTGGTGGTTAGTGTCTTTAATGAAATTTTTTCATCTTGAATGCTCAAGTGATTGAATCACAAATATTACTGAGTTGAATAAATTCAATGGTTTACTGGCTGAAATTTAATAGTGTTGTTTTCAATTGATGCCAGAAGCATTACGTAATCTACTGAATTATTCATTAAGTGTTTGATTCTGACAAATAGAAATTATTGACGTGACATGGACATATTTGGACGATTGTAGCAATCATGAAATAATTTTGCAAGGTATTTTACATAAGATTTTTGCATCTCAAAAACAAGGAACATGTTACAAGGTTGCCAAATGGTATTCAATTTGACAGAAAAATACCTTTACTTGTATTGTCTGAATATTTTTTTCTGCATTTTTACGAGCACTTTCTAGCAAAAGGTGTATCTCATATTGAACACAAAACGTATTATGCCCGTAGGTTCAAATTGAGTGAAAATAAATTTTTCAAGATTCTGAAAATTTTAAATAATAATCAATAATTAATTACTGTAAAATATATATTTTAGATGAAATTATTTTTCGCTGAAAAGTGTTTTTGGGTGTTTTGTATGGAATTTATTTTCACTGATATCTGACAAGTTGAATGTAAAATATAGAAAAAAAGGTATATTTATTAGCTGGATTTTATTTTCGCTGAATAATTCTTCAGCAAAAATAGTAAAAATTTAAAAGATTTTTATTTTATACCATAAATATTCAATTTTAGCTTCTATACATGTATCTTGCTTCTGTGAAAATAAAATAGATTTATTATCCAAATTTCTAATCATACATGTATAAACTTAATAATTTATTAG